TTTAAAAAAAATATGCATCTATGTGAGATCTGACACAGTGAAACCTATGTAGTATAAAGGTTAAGCACACAGACTGGAATGGATCCATTTGACTCAGTTAATTTTTTACTTAGAACTTGATATTTTTCTTCCTTTCCTTCTTTTTTTTTTTTTCAGATTAGGTCTCACTACGTAGCTCAGGCTGACCTGGAACTCACCTTCCTCCCTTCTCAGTCTCCCAGCTGCTGGGATGAATTACAGCTATGCACCAGGCTTGTTTTTACTTTCTACCTTTGCATTATCCTCATTTATTAAATATTATAATATTTACATGTGCTGGGATGAATTACAGCTATGCACCAGGCTTGTTTTTACTTTCTACCTTTTTATCCTCATTTATTAAATATTATAATATTTACATCTATATAAGGTATTTGTAGTATATATATAAAACATGTATATGTAATATGCAATATTTACAACACTACAACTATTAAATATTATATTTGATTTCTTAATCTGCCTCTTAAATATCATTAAAGTAACACTTCTTTGGCCTTTTTAAAATTGTAGTATACAACAGGAACATCTACCATGTAACCCTCTTGAGTGGACAGTTCTGTTGCATAAAGTGTATTCACAGCATTGTACAATCCTCACTACAATCCATTTCTAGAACTCTTTAGTTATCTCCAACAGCAAGTTTGTACCCACTAAAGAACAGATCTCTGTTTTCCCCTCTCCTCTCCTCTCCCACCCCCTGTAACCTCTATGTCACTTTCTGTCTGAATTTGCCTATTCTAAGTAACTCACACATGAGAATGACAGCGTTTTAAATTCTTGTTTTAAATTCTAATTTTATAGTTTTAAAGGATAATGATGTGGAAGAGAAAGCCACAAAGGAAAGGAAATGACCCTTCAGAGAAGAAATGGAAAGCTAGGGAGGGTAGAACAACATTTCAGAGACAGAAAACAGAAGGCCAAGGTGCTCAAGAACGTGAGCAAACCTTTTCGTTTAAATGCAAATGAGGGTCCTGCTGGAGACGCCCTCCTGTGCTGCCCCCTGGTGTTGCAACATTTATTTTTTCCAGCAATATTTTGTGTTCCCTATTTTCCTGGATGAAGTCCTGCATAATTTTTATTACTATGTTTCACTAGCATACAAAGTAATGGAGTTCTTTATGGCATTTTCGTACATGTACAGCATTACACTTTGTTCTTATTTACCCCTCCTCACTGTTCTCCCTGACCCTCTTTCTCTTTCTGGTCCCCTTCCTCCTCTCAATTTCCCCTTGGCTTTCAAGTCACATGTATCCCATTAGCCTCTCCTATTCCCTTCCCTCCTCATAGTCCCCTTTTAACTTTGGTGTCCTACATACATGTATGTTAATTTAAATCTACATTTTTACATATGAGATAAAGCATGCAATACTCCTCTTTCCGAGTCTGGCTTATTTTGCTTAATATAATGACATCTAGTTACTTCCATTTTCCTACAGATTTAATGATTTAAATCTTCAATAAAGCTTCCCTTTTGAATGGCAATAAATATGAATGCCT